TCATTTAGGGTTTATAAATCTTCGATTCCTTTTAACAATTAAATCTATTCGTTTCTGAAATTATTATGGATTTTGAGTTTTTGTAATTGGAAACGCAGAGAAGAAGAGTTTAAGAAATCTGCAGCTGGAAGAGCTGCTCAAGCTCAAATACAGCAAATGGCTAAACAAAAAGCTAATAGTAATACTAACAAAGGAGAACCTGTTCTTAAGGTTTCTTTCCTTAAACTTGCTTCCATTGATTGTGTATTCATGATCAATTTGCTTATTAGCTTCATTTTTGCTATGAATTGCAGTGGCAAATGTCGTAGTGTCGAAGACCGGGTTTCGAAGGAATCGAAGTTGTGAGCATTGATTCATTGTAAATTGTGTTCTTTTCAAGGTTTGCAAGGCTTTTGCATGTGAATGTGAATGTGAAAGCTTGTTTTCTGCCTTTATCATCTGATTATCTTTTGACATTGCACAAAAAAAACAGAGTAATTTGCAGTATAGTGATAATAAATGTTAAAGAATGATCATCTCTCTGTTTTATTTTGAGCTCTGAAACTTACAGTATAGTTTGCATTGTTCAATAAAATTCTTGTTTAGATCAATCGGCATGAGCCTTAGATTCGTTTATGCATCTCTGATTTGTGGGAATGTGGAAGACCGGTTTCGAGTTCATGAATGACTCTAATCGTCTTCTAACCTCCCGGAGAATCAAAACCTTGTCTTTTCGAAGACATGTTTCTGCATCTGACACATTAGACAGAGAGGAACAAGTTCATGCCAAGCTTTTCAGATTAAACCTGGTACCTCAGACCGAGCCAATTCATTGCTTTGGGCTGCATCTTCTTGGTTTCTCCACAGATTTTGTATTCAAGAGCGCCATTATCATTGGAAAACAGAAGAAGAAATGATGGATCCGATCAAAACAAAAACTGTTCTTACTCTCAGCAAAATGGGAACTTCTAGCCTAAATACCAATCTGCCATAACAATGATTCCGTCTATCACTCTAACCCCCACAGAACTAAGAAGCAATTAGTAGCTAAGGTGGTGCTAGTTCGTTATGTAGAGGGAGAAACAGGTCAAGAAGAATCCTATACTTTATTACTTTCATAGTCTGTGTTGCTTCGTTGGCTGCTTTATCAAAGAGAGACTTCCACAAGCCCAAAATTCTCCACTCTATATCTTCCCTTACAAACCCATTCGCCTCTGAAACAGCCTTGCCGCAACTCAACGTCTCCTCTACCTTCTTCACCATTTCTTCAATACTAGACGTCATAAGCCGGCCACTATTCAAACAACTTCCTTCTCTCCCGAGTTTTGAAACAAGTCGGTCCAGATATGTGATTCCATATTCAAATTCACGGCAAGTCGGCTCGGCCAGACTCAAATGGACTGATATGCCATCATTCTTATATACTCCGTTTTTTGGCTTGATACCTCTTAAGTAGACATAATGAATCACACGAAGCAGCCTTTCCGCCACGGGACTATTAGGATTCATATTTCTTTTTATATCTCTCCATAACTTAGAGCAGAACCACAACATACTACGAACGTCATCACACAGCAAGAACATCGATTGAGCCACATATAGCGAAAGCTCAACTCCTAGTTGCACAGTCTCCTTTTTCAGCTTCTTCTGAGAACCGAAACAAGGCGGTTCAAAACAATGATTCCGCTAACGAAATCATTCCAAGCCGTCTTGATAAGTTTCCATTGAGCTGACTTGCCACCACGACTCTGATACACTCCATTCTTGGGTTTGATATCTTTTAAGTAGACATAATAAATAACACGAAACAGCCTTGTTAACACGGTTTAAGTACATATCTCCATAGCTTAAAGCAGAAAGACATTAAAGTACGAATGTCATCACATAGCAAGAACATAGATTCAGCTACAGAGACAGAGAGCTCAATTCCTAGTCGTACAACCTCCAATTTCATATCTTCCTTTCCAGAATCGCTCCTACAAAACCAAAACCAAAACCAAAACATTCAATGTAACAGAGCCTTGATAAAGGGAATATAAAAGGATTTTTGTTTCGAAATAAAACGACGGCGGTTTACTTTACTATTTTCCCAATTAAAATCAAACACGGCAACGAGTATATAAATATAATAAATAATAAACCTCCTAGGTTTAAGGAAAATTTCCTTTTTCAAAAAGACGTGAGAGTGTATAATAATACTACAAAGCAATCTCGACTCAGAAACAAATTTTGTGGAAACGAAGAAACCCTAGAGTGAAGATCAAGTGGAAGAG